CCAAGCGCAGTTCTTTCCCTCCCCCGAAGTGGCGATTGTCGGAAAGCGGCGTTTGCAGGGGATCAGGGCAGTTCACGAACTTACTGGCTGCCTTCGCCCAACCCCCCTCCGCCTGGGTCACCTTTCCTGCCTTTGGGGGGGCTTTGGGGCTCTTTGGGGCTTCCGGTGCTGGAAGGACCCGGCTGGTTTCTCCAATCGGATCCGTGTCTTGGCAGATGCTGGTGCAGTGGAGCGATGGGGCCAAGGTTGTCCTGTGAATGCAGCAGGATGAGAGTCTGGAGAGAAGCCCTTCTTCATAATCTTCCTAAAGATTCCTCCTTCCTGATTGTCACTTTCTCCTGATCCCCACCATCACCCCGTGATCCTAAACCCAAAATACCCCCAGAGATTTATTCTGGGGGAGGCAGAGATTTGCCTCCCACGAGGTTCCTTCTTCCATTTCAGAAGCTCCAGACATGGGGCAGTTTGCAAAATGAAAAAATATTTAAAATATTTAATTATTCCTTAGTAATCAGGAACTTGGGGTGTTCCTGGCTTTTTGCTCTGAGAAATTATCAATATAGCAACTTTTCAAAAGACATTAAAAAAATTGGCAGGAATTTAAGGATTAAATAAACTGGCTTGGAGATAAAAGAAGAGAGAAGCACCTCTGGTTGGTGACCATGAAATGAATCGCTGCTCAGCCCCACAAGGGAAAGAAGCGGCTTCTGGATCACGGAGAGTCCGATCCCCCCTCCTTCTGTTAGAGAAATTCTGTGATCCCTTTTGGATTCTGAAATCTCCCCAGAGCAGGAAGTGGATCTGGGATCCTCTCCCCAAAAGCTCTGAGAAGCCCCTGGGATTGTGGGGAGGAGCAGGAAGAAGGAGGCCCAGGCCTTTGCCTTGGACTGGGAAGGACTGGGAGGCCATACTGGAGGGAATGGGCAGTGGGACTACAGGCAGTCCTCGACTTACAACAGTTCATTTAGTGACCAAAGTTGCAATGCCATTGAAAAATGTGACAGTATGACCATTTTTCACACTTATGACCATTTTAGCATCCTCATTGTCATCTGACCGAGATTTGAATGCTGGGCAACTGGTTCATATTTATGACGGTCGCAGTCTCCCCATATCACATGAGCCCCTTTTGCAGCGTTCTCACAAGCAAAGTCAATGGAGAAGCCAGATTCACTTAACAACCAGGTTATTTATTTAGCAACTGCAATGATTCATTTAACAACTGTGGCAAGAAAATTTGAAAAATGGAGGAAAAAAACTCACTTAACTAATGTCTCACTTAGCAACAAAAAATATGGGCTCAATTATGGTCATAAGTCGAGGACTACCTGCATTTATTTCTCTGGGCTTTGGAGGTCCTGCCCTTTTGTATGCAGACCCTGGTTCTGCCCAACTAAATCCCATGAACAATCCTGAAAATGATCTTTAAAATCTTTGGTGCCCTGGAAGAATTTCTGACCTGAAGAGCTTTCAGAATGGACACCAAAAAGGGGCCTTGGGGATTTTCCAGCTGAATCAATTTCCCAGCAGCATTTTATTCATTTTATTTTCTTTTGATTCTTTTAACCCGCTTAGAAGCTGTTTTTTTTTCTGTTCATTGGGCAGCCTGAGAGTCTCTTCCGTGTTTGTATTTTCACAATGGAAACTAAACGGTGACTTCATGTGATTTTTTTCCCTCCTTGTTAGTAAAGTTTCATGTCTTGTGAATTGAGCCTGTCCTCCAAGGAAGGGCTGGAAAAACTCTCATGATCCTCAGTCAGGAGTTTGCATGATGGAAATTGAAATAATTTTCTGTGTTTAATCTTTGGTTCATCAGGGCTTGAAGGATGACAGGACCCTCCCCACAGAGGATGAGTTTAGGGAGAGGACCCCAGCTGAGCCCCCCCCACCAAAAAAACATGGGTGTTTTCAGCAGGAACTCCCAATCAGGCCCAGTGGGGGCAGGGGGTGGGGGCAGGGTGGAGAGGCCCCCTGGGTTTCTATAGGGTGAGGGGAATTCTGGGAATTGAAGTCCAAATGGCTGAGTCTGAGGAACTCTGATTTAGGCCTTTACCTTGCACTCACTGATCATGGGCAGAGTTGAGTAGCCAGGATCACAGTCCCCTCCCAAGTTGGCTGAGGGGCATTTCTGCCTGACAAAGTGCAGGATCAGCCCCAGAGGAGGAAAGGTTTCAGAGCGGCTTCTGCGGAAAGTGAAGGGTGAGATTCAGAGGAAATCTGGTCCAATGGAAAGCGTCCGTGGATGATGGTTTCAGGGCCCTAACTGGGTTGCTGGAATGAAGCAATCTTGGGATAATCCCAGTGAAATTCTCTGTGGAATGAGGGGGAGCCCCTCTGAGTCCTGGGTTCAAGGCCGATTCCTGCTCAGACTGCTGAACTCTGGGAGGAAAGGGGAGGAATGGGAAGGGGGACAGGAGGAAGATCTGGGGTCTCTGTGGTTTCATTGCTGCTCGCTTCCCTTTGCCTTCCCCCTTTTGGGTTTCCCCTAAGGATCCCATGGCTCTACCTTCCCCTCCCCCGTTTTATAAAATCTCCCCTAATATCTGCAGCTAAAAACCATCCACTTTGGCCCTTAGATTTTTTTTTTGTAAAAAAAAAATGTAAATTTGGGGTGTCCAGGTGGGGTTTTCTGCTGCTTTTGAGCTCCTGGGGGGGAATCCGCCCTTTTCCCTGTGGGGCCACTGCAGCCTCCTTGGGGCAGAGACCTCCTGCCTCCTCTCCCACCATCTCCCCCTTCCTTCCCCCCTTCCTCCTCTGCCCCTCCATCTCTTCTTCCTCTTCCTCCTTCCTCCCCAGAGCCTCAGGTGGGAGCCACGATGGGATCAGGGCCCTTGACTGAAGCCCCCTAACTCTCCCCCTCTGGGTCCCTTCCAGGCGCCTCCTCCCACTCCCTGAAGTATTTCTACTCCTCCATCTCAGACCCCAGTCAGGGGCTGCCCCAGTTTGTCGGTGTGGGGTACGTGGACGGTCAGGTCTTTGTTCACTACGACAGCCACAGTCAGAGGATGCAGCCTCGAGTCTCCTGGATAGAGAAGTATGTGGGGAAGGAGGATTCCCAGTACTGGGACAGAAACACAAGGAATTTTCGTGCTGATGAGGAGGTGTTCAGAGTCGGCCTGGAGACTCTGAGGAATCGCTACAATCAGAGCGAAGGTGAGTGATGGGTCTGGTGGCTCCTCCGGCCCCATATTCCCCTCCCCAGGAACCAGAGGGGGGGAAAGGGGGGGTCCCTTCAAAGGGAAAAGCAGCCTCCACACCATTTAAAAAGTCTTTTTTATATGTTTATTCTTTTATTTTAATCAATATAAGGTTGTCCTTGCCTCCATAGCTGACATTTTCTTCCAACTGCAGTTAATGAAAACGTGTTTAAATTTATCCATCTGTCTGTCTGAATGTTGACATTGATAATTAATATAAACTGAGTTAAAAAGGGACCAAAATCTCCCCTCCCCCCATGGAAGATGGAGGGTCCTTAGTGGATCTCCTGCTGTGGGGGAGGAAGGGAATCAAGTCTCCCCCCCCCCAAAGAAAAGAGGCAGGAGGATCCTAAGGAGATCCTGGGGGGAAGCAGGTCCTCGTCCTTCTGTCTGTTTCCATCCGAGAGAAATGAGGGATCGAGTGGAGATCCACCTGGGGAGACTAGATCCCTTTCCTTCTCCCCCTTGTTGGAGGGAGGAGTGGGGCCCAAATGCCAGGAGCTTCTTCTCATCCTCCAGTTGGAAGGAGAGGCCAGGAGGCCCAAATGGGGTGGGGGGCTCTTGGAGGGGGGGGTCACAGGGCCAGGATCCTCCCAATCTTGAGGGGGAAAGAGAGAAAAGAAACAAACCTCCATTTGGGGCCCTGCCAGAGTCTCTCAGAGCCATCATGGCTTCCCATCCTTGGTCCCTCAGGCTGGACTCCTGCCCTGCCCTCTTGGTGGGGCTGCCCTGGAGGGGGGGAGACTCTTTCTTCAGCAGCCCCCTCCCCCCATTCTGCCCTCTTTTGGGGTGGACAAGATTCCCCTTCAAGGAACCTTATTTAGGAAAGGGGTGCAAGGAAATCTGGATGTAACGATAGGCTGCTTTTGGCTGAGGAAAACCTTCTCCACAAACCTCAGCCATTTCCTCTCCTTTCATCCCAAGGAGGGGCAGCCCCCCCTTTTCCTCCTTCCACTTCTGGGAGACCCCAGAGCTCATCCAGTCCTGCCCCTGATCCCCCAGGATCCCCTCAGATCCCTCCAGGCCCCCTGCTGGCCTCCCAGGGGAGCAGAGCTGGACCCAGAGGGCTCCCCCTGGTGGAGGAAGGAGGAAGGAGAGCGGCCAGAGTGGAGGGGAGCCTCCTTTCCAGGCTAAAGAGCCCCAAAGGTCCCATTCCAGATGTAGAGGCACCCTTGATTCATGTCAAGGTTTAGGACATTAGCCTCTCTGTGTTTTCAATACTATTTTAATGATCCCTGATACCCTGTTTGCCCTTTAAATTTTTTATAAAATTTGGATTAAACTTTTTGAACAAAAAACCAAAACTAATAGAAAGTAACCTAAAGTAAAGGAGATAAAAGAAAGAAATCAAACAAAAATAAAAAAGTACAAGAAAAGAAAACAATTAAAGAAAATAAAGAAAGAAAAAAGACATAAAGAAGTGATTTCTGATATTCTTCACGGCAGTTCTAAATATAAACGTGTTTTAGCCCCTCTTAAGCAGCCTTCCTCAACCTTTTGACCCTGGAGGAACCCTTGAACTATTTTTCAGGCCTCAGGGAAGCCCTGAACATCCAGGCTCAAAGAAAGGTTGAATTTGTTTCATGCATAGACCTGAAGAGATGTATTAATAGTGTTCTTACACTAAATATAAAAAAAGGAAACTTGCCTTTTCAATGTGATCCCTGTGCTTTCTTTTTCCTGCAGAAATATTCAAATCTGTGCCAAATTTGACATATGAAAATACAGATTTTATCTTCAAGTGAAATAAGACAATTTCTGTCTTTGCTTTTGATGCTTCTGAAATAAGACTGAGCTTGTTCTCAGGAGTTGAAAACAGCAGCCAAATATTTAGGGCCTTCCTGTGAATGGCTGGAGATTCTTCTTGGGCAGAAATCCAGAACTATTTTTCCCATGGGGAGATCAGGGAATCTCCTCTCGAGGGAAGGATCGGACTGCAGCTCACGAGGATCTTCCTCTTCCTCCAAAGGGAAGTTCTCTGGCTGAGCAGAAGATATATAGAGAAAGGATCCCTCACCCGTCATTCCTGGGTGTGGAAAGGGAGGGAAAGGGCTGGTCAGTTTAGTTCAACTGTACTTACAGGTAGTTTCTCCTTAGATTTGAGAGTTTCTGGCGTCCTTTCTCTCTCTCAAGGCCAAACAGAAGTAGAAACATTTCAGGATTTCCATTTGTTTTGGGTTTTTTTCAAACATTCAATGTTCTCCTCAAATCCAAGAATCTGTTCACTTGAAGACGAAACATCTTCTCCAGGGCCTTGCAGAGCCTGTAAACTTCAAGCTCCTTTCAAAGGTCAATAACCCTTTGGGTGTCCAGATCAGACTGGGCCACTTGCTGCTGTGGCTGAGGAAAATATTCCTTTGTGGCCCTTCGAGGCTTCATTCCCACTTTGCACCAAACCATGGTTTGTTTCAGGTTAGCCCAAAGTGGGAGCCAGCACTTGTGACTTTGTGCTATTTGTGGATGTAGACCAAGATTTATAGTCACAGGGATCCCTGCAAGCTTTTGTGTAGATCGACCAGATGCTCTTTGAGGCCATGAGATTCTCAGTCCCTCTTAGCAGCCGCAGATTCAGGCAACTTTTTTCTCTCTCTGGGATCCCTTCCTTTCCCCCCAAGAGTCTCCCCTGCAGAGGAACAGCAGAAGGAAAGATGGAAATGTCTCAGTCCCCCCGTTTATTCTGTGACTCCCCCTTTTCTGGGTCTCCCTTGGGATCCTCTGCTGTCTTTTCCAGCTTCTCCTTTTTTCCTGGGGAGGTTCAGGGGCTCCATCCTGGGGGGGAAATGCAG